ACTCCTTCCATATTGTGGCTCTTCCATCCTCTAGGTCCTTGTGATTGCAACTGGTACACGGAGAAAGAGAACACACGGAGGAGGCAAACCCTTTCTTAAAAGCCTTGGCTGGGATGAAGACACTTCACGTACTCTAACATCCCATTGGCGGTAATCAATCATGGGTCACATCTTGACCCACAGGGATGGTGAGTGGGAAAGGTAATTTTGTCTGTTGACCTGCTTGTCAGGAAAAACTCTGTAACTATGAACATGATGGGGAGGCATGCATTTTGGCTGGCTATATCTGCCATAGGGCTGTTTATCAGAGATAGAGCAGCCATGACCTATTCAGTAGAAAGGAAGTCTCTGGACTACAGATAAAAAATTTGGAGAGATGAAAGACTTAAGAAAGAGTCAACCAGTCATGGGGGATCAAGCTTGAGAACAGTAAGATTAAACCTGAATAAAAGTCAGGCCAAGGGGCTCATCCATCAGCTAAGAGGAGAGGCATTAGACATCAGGAAGAGTACAGTGCCATCAGTTAATGGAAGGGTCAAAAGGGTGGGTCCCAATGATCAGGGACTTTCTCTTCAAGGGACACCTCTCTAGTTGGTTCTGTGCTGAGCGCTATAGTTACCACAGTGGCTGAGGTTTGCCTCTACCCTCAAACAGGAAATGGAGGAAAGCCTGTATTCAGGAAGGCTGAATTGGAGGCTGTGTGTGTGTGTGTGTGTGTGTCACACACACACACACACACACACACACACACACACACAGAAAGAGAGAGAGAGAGAAAAACAGTTACGTCAAGGAAGTGACAGCCATGGCCTTTAAAGATGAAAATAAGTTGGTGTTTGTCAGAAACTGTCCAATTTTGTTGTATGGAATTGAACTTCTCTGCAGTGGCCTCACCTGGTCTTTCCTACCTTCATTAGCTTTCTGTACTCTGAAGTGTCTAAACACAATACCAAGTAACAGTCAAAGAAAAATGAGGTAATCACAGAATAAAAGCACAAATAGATGTGAGTACATGCATATTTATTGCATTGTTGTTTTTAGTGGCAGAAATTTGGAAAGATCCTTAATGTCTTTCGTTTTAAGAGAATGGCTAAAGTATTGTTTTAAGAGAATGGCTAAAGTATTTTTCACCATATTGGGGATTACTATACAGCTATTAAAGAGAATGGCTTAGGGGGCACGTAGGGAGCTCAGTCAGCCGTCTGACTCTTGATCTCATCTCAGGTCTTGATCTCAGGGTCATTAATTCAAGTCCCAAATTGGGCCCCACACAGCATGGACCTCACTTAAAAAAAAAAAAATGAATGGCTTAGATCTGTACACTCTGACCTAGAAGGATATCTATGGATAAAGCAGGGTACAAAGCAGTTTTATGTGATCCCATCTTTGTATAAACAAATTGCAACACAAAACCTGTATGTATGTATTTGTATAAGCACAGAGAAAAGTGTGTAAGAATACATTCCAAGATTTAAACATTGATATTTGGAGGAAGGAGGTCTTAAAGATTGGAGCTATTAACTTTTTCCTTAAGTATCTGCTTTGTAAATTAATGATTAATAAACAAGAAAAAAACCCACAAGGATGTTTTAAATCTCGGAAACTGGTAAGATACAGAATGCTTCCTCCATCCAAACCCTGATCATTTAATTCTTTCAATAATTATTTATTGAGTATCTACCTGGTGCCAGGTACTTTCATGGCCATCATTTTATTTGAACTTTAGAATAATCCCAAGAGATCTTATTTACAGGTGACAAAACAGGATAAAAGAACTTTAGTAAGTTGCTCAGGGTCAAATCACTGTGAAGCACTTTTGCCCACTCCCTCTGGCCCCATAGCCCATGTGCTCCTGCCTGTAGTTCACTCTCCTAAAATCAGGAAGACAAGTGGCCCATTTCTTAGGTCAGGTGATCTAGCATTCTAATGAAGCCTGGCTAACTAGTGAGGGTCCTAGTTTATGAACGGAAGGGTGATCTAAAACAGGTGAGAATCTTGTTGGGAATAATCCCAGTCCTTGCTGAAAATCCTAAAAGAACTGCAAAGACCCATTCTTGAAAGAATCCCCTTGGAGATGAGTCACTTGGTGACATCTACATGGGGACAGAGAAGTACACGGAGTATAATCTTCTTTGAGGGTCTCAGGGTGGTGGGAAGAACTGCTCTACTTTTAGCTGGCTTTGACCCTGGAGGTGTTTTCAGACGCCCTTGTGCGTGTAATCTCACTCCTTTCCTTCTCGCGTTAGGGGCTCTTCAGTTAGGGTTATGGGCTTCAAACAACTGAAGAGTTTAGAGGCCATTGGTTTCTCCAGACCACATTTCCAGCCAGAGATGGCATTATTCAAGACAAAGAAAAAACTCAATCCTAAATTTTTGATGCAACTGGCAATTCTGGCAAAGATTTAAAAAACTAGGATAGTTTCTTTTGCTGGGCTGAGCTTTAGGGTCGAGAATTCAGCCCATGGCTGACACGGGAGGTTTGGGGCATTCTACCACTGTTGCTTGGGGACAGGCATTTTTGACAGCATTCTTCCTAGGTTGGCTCTCTCCAGAAGTTTCAAATTAATAGAAATATGTTTTAATTAGACAAGAACCTAGATATTAATTTTTTAATGTTTATTTATTTTTGAGAGAAACAGAGAGCCAGAGAGAGGAAGACACAGAATCTAAAGCAGGCTCCAGGCTCTGAGCTGTCAGCACTGAGCCCGATGCAGGGCTCAAACTCACAAACCGTGAGATCGTGATCTGAGCTGAAGTCGGACACTCAACCGACTGAGCCACCCAGGCACCCTGACAAAAACCGCTATTGAAAAATGGTTAAAGCATAGCTAAAAAAGAACGTCTAAGGTAGTGCTTCTCAATATGAGCATCACCAAGAGACCTCTAAAAAATTGGGACATTCAGGCCACACCCCAACCAATTAAATCAGTATCTATGGGGCTGGGACCTAGGTCTAGCAGTTTCTACAGGTCCCCAGGCGATTCCACTGAGCAGTTAATGGTGAGACTCATTGGTTTACTGACCAATATTCTCACCCAGCTGAAGCAGCAAAGGTGCAGAAGCTGAGCCTGTTCTCAGGGCTGAAGTCACTCTAGGAGATCACTGGCAGCTGGTGTAGGACTTTGAGGCTCAGAGAGGACCTCTCTCGGGCCCCACCCTTCACTCAGTGGTGAGCAACCTAGATCCTTCTCAAGAGCCAACTCACAAAAGCCAAAATATATTTACAGGCTGCCTTGTTTTTCCATTCCAAATGAAAACTTGATTGAGGCCCATAAAAAATGACTTGGTGTTACAATTTTTGATTACCTATTTTGCTAAATAGAAGACTGAAAATTGGCAACTCTTCATTACTTAAAGTATCTATCTGGGTATTTTTAAGAAAGGAAAATGTAGACAGGTGTCTAAACTTCTATCTTCATATATGTAAGTGATGAGTCACTAAATTCTGCACGTGAAACTAAATAAAATAAAACCTAAAAATTTTTTTTTCATGTTTATTTATTTTGAGAGAGTGAGCAAGCAAGAGCATATGAGTAGGGAGGGGCAGAGAGAGAGGGAGAGAGAGAATCCCAAGCAGGTTGTGTGCTTATAGTGCACAGCCCAACAGAGGGCCCCATCTCACAAACCATGAGATCATGACCTGAGTTGAAATCAGGAGTTGGACACTTAACTGAGCCACCCAGGCACCCAAGGAAACTTCTATCTTCTGATTACATCATTAACGCAATAATGAAACCAGGTGGTCTGTGGGTGGTTCTGGAATGTTGATTGCACATCTCTGCTTATAGTTTATGATTCTCAAATACCTGCATGGCCATTAGCTAAATTGATTAAATCAATTTTGAGGCTCTACTTATTGGTGAACAATCTGTAATCTACTTTAGACTTGGCATTTTTCTTCACGAGACCAAACAGAAGTGGTTAAAATCTGAAAAAATGGCAACAACTGGGCTTGGGAAAAGACTAAATGCAAGCATCACTTGTTCCTGTGGCAAACTTTGGTGGTACTAAGCTCTCACAACACCAGGAGCTAATAGTAACGTGCTAATGTTCCAGATGGGTAACTGAGCACTGACCGAGGTGCTAGCTCTAACACTGCTGAGGTTGTCTTCTTTGGATCACACACACACACTTGCTCACATAGTCTCTCTCTCTCTCTCACACACACATACACACACACACTTGCTCACCTACTCAGTCTCTCTCTCTCTTTCTCTCTCTCACACACACACACACACACACACACACACACTCACACACCCTTCACAATCTCCCCGGCAATTCTCTGCATTGCTTTCCCCTGAAGTACTTTCTCTTCTCACTGACCAAATCTTCATGGTGGGGAACTTGGTTGAGGAGGTGTGAAGAGGTGAGAACTATATAGGGCTTGCTAGTGAGCAAGAAGACATATCATATGAAACAAAGTTTTCATTTTTATTTTACATATTTATACATAAAACTTTCAAGGAACCCTCTGAATCCAACAGAATGTGAATAGCACATCTAAAAATGAACTTCAGGTAGTCAACATTCACAAAATGTTGAAAACTGATTAAAATATACATATTACGGACAGCTATGACTTCACTACGAGGCAGGCATGTATTTTTTGACTTGTATAGCACCGTCATTTACAGTTCTTTAAAACTACAGTGAAGAATGAAAGTAGTCAATGGTAAAATACTGCTCCAACTTAAAATCTCGAAACAAATAAAAATAAAGTTAAAACTACCCTCTTTGATTAACCATGACTAGTGATGGTGTCAGTACTGTACATTTTCTGTAACAATATTTTATTAAAATGCCTGATATTTAGTGGCACAGTAAAAAAATTAAAATAAATTAAGAAGCAAAGGCCAATCACTGGACATTAAGCTTCAGACATTATCAATGACTAACACTGATATTTTGTTTGTTTCTGCGCCACCTTTAGTAACAGCATTTTTACAACCACAGAAGCAAAATAAATTCTAGCTTGTCCTCTGGTCGGATGGCTTCTTTCACTTTGCGGGCATTTTCTCTGCCATGTGCTTCTGCTGACTTTCGGCATGTCTGTAAAATTAATCATACAATTGTTTAGTGCTAAGAAGAGAGATCCAAACTGCTTTCTGATCTGTAGCGAAAACAATCCTGCAAACTGAGGTTCGGAGTTACTTGTAATGAAATCAAGACAATTAAGAAACAGAGCTTAAATCAAATGGATTTGTCCTCTTTAACTTTTATATTCTAAGTAAGAATCTTTTTATTTAATAAGGTACTAGATTACCCTGAGAATGGTAGATGTCACTACTTTTGAGAAGAAAAAGCACTGTGTTTAAAAAAAAAAAAAAGAGTTAAGTATCTGGGGAAATTCATCCAACAAATGTTTGATATGTTTCTATGTGCCAGGCACTGTTCCTGGTGCTGTGGATTTGGTGAGTAGACAATGAGGTCTTTGTTTTCGTGGAACATATATTCCAGTGGAGAGAGACAAAAAAGCAATGGATAGCAAAGCAGAAGATAGCAGAGAGAAAATAATTAATTCTAAGCCAAAAGTCAAAAAAAGGTGTCATGGTAGAAGGTAACTACATGACTACTTTATTTGAACACATGCACACAGACACAAATATAAGCATTAAAAAGGCTACTGACAGAAATCTGAAGCCAATGATCCAGTTCCACTCTTACAAAAGCTAATGTCTTCCTAACAAACTGTAGGTCTTTGCAGATGCCAAGATTTTCCATGTTTGCATACTTCCCTCCCTGCCACCCTCCCCCCCAATTAATCCAAAGGGCATGATCATGGCAGTGAGGGTAAAAGTAGGGTGGGGTGAGTCTTCTTATTCATCAAGCCCTATTATTGCCTATAAGCCCCAAATTCAGCCAACCCAGCAGCTGGCCAGTGGAGACAGAGGGGGAAAAACGGCCAAGCTGCTTACATCACTTGAATGGCTACTAATTAAACGTTTTCCCAGAGAGTGGTAGGGTTTGACGTCTGCAAAAGACAAATGTTTTGAAGGACAATTCTAGGAATTTATAAATTTGGCAAGAGAAAGTCTCTAACGCTGTGGTTTCCAGCTGTAATCAAAGGTTCAGGGGCAGTTTTTGTGTGCTGCCTAGACTTGGGTAGTCAATGACGTCAAGTTTAACTCACTGGTTTTGTGCAGAATGTCTCCGATCTATGGTATAGGGACAAACCACAAATACTTTCAGAAATAGGGAAGTGACAACAGTGTCCTTGCCATATTCAACAGCCCGCAAATAATTGGTGATATTCATTTAACAATAAAGTAACTTGGAGAAAAGATATCAGCCCTTTATTCCTAAAACACAATGCCCAGTAGCAGACCATCTCATGGCCCTGTTTATGTGTATAAAACAGCCTTGATCATTTTTATCAAGTGGCTTATGGGTCTCATTTAAATTCAGCTCAGAAATATTTTGATAACCACTGAGCTAAGATTCCACTGTAGCTAATTAAATTATAGTTTCTAGGGGCACCTGGGTGGCTCAGTCGGTTGAGTGTCTGACTCTTGCTTTCAGCTCAGGTGGCGATCCCAGGGTCGTGGGATCAAGCCCCGCATTGGGCCCTGTCTGAGTGTGAAGCCTGCTTGGGATTCTCTCTCCCTTTCTCTCTCTCTCTCTCTCTCTCTCTGCCCCTTTACCCCACTTGTGCACGCTCTCTAAAATAAATTTTTAAAAAAATTGTAGTTCCTACAGCAGTTTTAAAATATGTATCTGTGTGTATCTGTGCATGCACATGTGTGTTTTTCTGAGAGAGAAGGAAAGAACAGGAAATAGCTTCAGAAAAGCTGGAGAGCTTTGAAAAATCCTAATGCTCAGGCCACCCCACAGAATCATTAAATAAGAATCTCTAGAGGTGGGACCCAGGCACCAATGGTTTATAAAGCTCCCCAGGTGATTCCAATGTGCAGCTGAAATTGAGAACCACTGATCTAAACTGACACCAGGAATGGAAGAACGTCTCATTATCTACTGGACAGGTAAAGGGAACAGGTGATTAGAACTTCCCAGCTGATGCTCTCGGCCTTCTGGGATCAGGCTGCAAAATTCCGACATTGCTACCTTTAGGTACATTTAAGTATCCTCAGATCCCCTCACAAGCAAAATTATATTATGTAGCCAGGAACGGACATAGGAACTTCTCCCCACCTGCTCCACTTTAAAGGGTTCCTCTAACGCCTTTAAATTAGTAACTCCTCTCCTTTTCACCCCTTGGTTCTGCCTGCCCTGTTTCCCATGGTCACACCATCTGAAAGGTATTTAAAAAACACACTGTAAACCTAAGTACTGGCTTAACATTTGAGAGAAAGGCAGAGTCCCTCAGTGTCTTCCCTGCAATGAGGAAAGCAACATGCTTTGGGGAGTAGAGGAAAGGTCTCTGCTGTCACAGGCAAGTCACAGAATTTACAAAAGAATGTACATATTTTTTTTTGAAGATTTAGGTTTTGATCTTATATTTCATGAATGATTTCCCATAATCTTCATACCTATTTACAAATTTCTTAGGCTAACAAAAAGGGATTTGTCTTACAGTTGTTGGAGCAGTGCCTGAATACCTCTGTAGGTGGCAATAATATTATGTGAATGTTGTTGTGATAGTTTAGATACAAGTAAATACGCTGAGGAGTATGAGGCCTTCAGTTTTTTAGTTTTTTGGGGGGGGGGGGCGAGGCAATAGAATATCCAAAGCATACAACAGAGTACTGCCCATAGGTCTTAAAAAAAAGAAAGAAAGAAAGAAAGAAAGAAAGAAAGAAAGAAAGGCCTAAACATAGTTCTTTAGCATTTATTTTGCTACCAAAACTATTTTTTTTTTTGCTTTTTAAAAAAATTTTTGGTTTATATTTTCCAAAACTATTTTAAAACACCAAATATAGAAAAATATTTTACTCCATGCTACACATTGAGAAGAGGTCCTGTGGTAGGTGCTAAGCACATTTTCACTACATATGTTTTCAAGCTTCTCTTGGATGGCTCTGGATCATGTGGTTAATTCCTTATGTTACTGAGACAAGCAGTGTTCTTCTTCTCCCTGGGGAGCCTTCTACTCTCTGAATACCATTTCTGGGATTAAGAGTAATTATTACCTCTTGGTTTAAAGACTTCATACATACTGTCTCAGGAAAGGCACCAAGGCAAACATGAGATCGTAGGAAATACAGTATTTCATGTACTTTATATACTTGTGGTGATAGGCTTTTCTACAAAGAAAACTACTAAGAAATGCAAGATCTGGACTGGCATTAGCCTAGTTTCTGTATCCCCCAGGAGAGGAAACATTCTTTACCTCTTTATAGAGAGGTACTTGGAGCCAGGCCCAGCTAGAAACTCAAGTGCTGGGGTTTCCCCATGGTGAGAGCAATCTGGTGGCCCTGGTGCTGTGGAAAGGTGCCAGTGTTCTTGCCTTCTGGACATGGCAGATGTGATCAAGAGCTGGGTCACATAAGAGCAAATGCCGCTCTGTGGCACCTATCACCTGCCAGCAGGGAACAGCTCAGGGCTAACTCCCCAAGGGGACAGTCCTTCAGGAAAAAGTCCTCCTGGGCCAGAAATGCCGACCTGATTTGGGGGAGGCGGTGTAGGAAGTTCTACTGCACTGACAACCCATCACAAAGGGAGGGTGAAAAAGCAATGCATTTGGGAAGGAGTTTTGGCCACTTCCCCTCAGCTAAGCAGCTGACATCGGCAGAGATTAGGTGAGTTACTCATGGAAGTAAGGGGAAGAAGTTCTCTGGGGCTCGCTCTCGCCCCAATTCTTCAACATTAGGCCATCCTGGACTTCTTTCCTTCTTTGGGAAGGGGGAGGCGTCACTGACCTGGTCAAGTCTTCGATGTCCACCAGCATGGCGTCTTGCTCCGTGTGCAGCTCATCTCGGATGAGCAGCAGCTGGACCAACTCCTCATTCAAGCCTGGAGCAAAGGAAAGAGCATTTAAAAACGGATAAAACTGCATCAAAGTCTGTATGTGCAGCTCTACAGACCATTATACAAGTTACTTTTGCTAAAATTTAGAATTCTTATGTTAGCTTTTCATAAGCCCAGGAGAAGTCATCAGTCTGCAGACATCACTAGCTTGCATAATTATAGAAGTGTTGGAAGAAAAGCAGTGAAGTATGAAGTATTTCCATTTACGTTCACGTTAAAGTGGGAAAAGAAATCGTTAGCTGCTAGGAAAATAGCTTGCTGAAAAAAGCAGGATTTTCCTTTGAAGAAACGTGAACACAAATGTCTGGGGCATGTTAAGTTTTCCACCTTCCATCCTGAGGACACTCCCACCACCCGAGAGTTGGAGGGACCCACCGCACCCAAAGTGCTACATCAGACGCGCAGCTAGAGAAGGTGACCCACGCATGTTCCAAGGCTTCCTACAGCCCGCAGAAGGAACACCCCTCTGTGCAGGCTGTTCTAAGTCATATCTAAGTCGTAGCTACAGATACTGGAAAGCTAGATTTGTTAAGACCCGAAGAAATAACTTGAAATCTCTGGATGAGGACCAAGGAAAATATTCCTTAGGATTTATACTGGGAATAAAACACAGATGAACAGATACATTTCTAATCCTCCTGAAATCCGTGCACCGGGTTAATCTGGCTTCTGCTTCTGAAAAATATGAACAAGCAGAAGGGGCTGTCTTATTGTTTTCCCCCTTAGATCGAAGCTTTTAGGTCCAGATGCATGGGAGATAACATTCATTTAGCAGCAAAGCTCTGGGCCCAGAAACAAAAGAAAGGAAGGAGGTATTCAGTATTCAGCCAGGTCCTCCTTGGAAATGCTTTTAGAGATCCTGACTTCAAACGATGCATTGATCTGCCTTTAGTTCAGACTAGTTTCCAGTTTAAAAAAAGGGAGAAAAAAAAATTATATAAAGAGGTCTAAATTCATCTACTACTGAAAAGAGCTAGATGACAATTTTAGTATTTAGAAGTCTAAGGAAGATATTTCAGTGGTAAAATATCAGAAGGCCTTTCACATCCTTGAAAGAATAATAGTCCTAGTAATTTAGTCTCAACTGAAATTACAATGTAGTAGAATTTTTTTTAAAAAACCTGTGAATCTATGCTTTCCTAATTAGAATGTTAAACCCTTTCTCTTGATTTTAAAACAACACTGAACATATTAACTTAACTCTGAATACGTCCATATCTTTTTCAGTATGTTGTTAGGGAAGATTTTTTTTTTTTATATTTAAAAAAAAATTCCACTAGGATAGCTTTTTATACTAGCTTTCAGTAGAGGGCCCACGTAGTGCATGGAAATTTTTTTCCCCATAGGACAGTTTTAACTTTTTACCATGGAAATTTTCGAACTGATACAAAGAGACTGATTTAATGAATCTTCATGTCCCATGCATCCAACCAGCTCCCCAAATCACCAACTCATGGCCAATCTTGACTCTTCGACCTCCCCCTTCTCCTACCAGATTAGTTGAAAGCAAATTTCAGACAGCATATTATTTCATCTGTAAATGTTTCAGTGTGTATCTCTAAACAGAGTTCTTTTTTTCTTTTTTAGTTAGCAAAACCACAATACCTTCAGCGTATGTAACAAACAAGTGCATCTTTAATAAAACATTCCATCAGTGTACAAATTCCTCCGTTGGTCTTAAATGTTTTACAGTTCGTTTGTTTGAATGCATTTGGTTGGCATGTCTCTTAGGTGGTTTTTAATCTGTAAGTCCACAGGATTTTCTAGAATCACACATTCCAGAGGCTGGAGGGCACACGGTTCAGTTGGACTAACCACACCGCCCACGCAAGCATGTTTTGTGTTCTCTCTCTCATCGGGCTCATTTGTGCTCTGCACAAGCAGCCACCTCAAGTGAGCACCTCTCATTTACCACCTACTTGGAACACTTCTGTCACAGGCCCTTCTTTATTCTGGAGGAAAGAAGGCCCATAATTTGCCGTCCTGTAATTTTCACATACTGGTCGTACATATTTCCCCCACCTCGAGTCCCACAAAATAAGCTGAATTTGATTTGAAGACCTAACATGAATGTATGTACAAGTTATGTTGAGGGAATAAGTGCCTAATCAATGATGTATAACTACGAAATTATATTCCAGGAACAGATGCTGTGAGCCACATACACACCAGGCATTGTGCCAGGCGCTGGGGATCTGAGATGAATAGAAAGGCCCTATCACCTCTATGAACCTTGAAAAGTTCTTCAAGTTTCTGACCCCTTTACAGAAAAAAACCAAAAACAGAGCCTTGTGATTCTCTTCCTTCTCTTGCAGCACACAGGAGGAACCCAATGAAACAAACAAAGGAAGTGAATCAAGGAGGTCGTACTATCCCACGAGATTTCACATCTGACCCCCCATTTCCAAGCACACCATACACTTACTTTCAATCTGGGAATGGAGATCATTGACTATCACTTGTAGCTGCCCAAGAGTCATGTCCCGTAGGTCAGTGGGCTTTAAACTCCTTTTCATCAGGCATTCACTTATATGAGGCATGTGTGGCAGCTGAAGGTACAAAGGGAAGAAACGGAGGTGTGAACAGAGCAGCAGGTACACGGAATGCAAACCACACTCTCACCCGCCCACTTCAGTTTAGGTTCTGGGCTCCGGAGCCTTCCCAGGCTGACTTTTCCCGTGCGAGGGCCCCCCACACTCGCACCACACTGTCTACAACACTATGGCACCAAAATGCTACACTACTCTAATCAAAAGCTTTCTGATTGGTCTAGAACACAGGCTGTGACAATCCTGAATCGATTATCATATCCACAAATGAATGACTAGGGAGCTCAAGGAATATGAATGACATGGATAAAATTAATAATATCAGTTATTCATCAACTGGTACCGTGTTATGAGCACTGTGCTGTGTCTTTGAACGCTTTGTTCACGGAACTCCCCAGTCATGCTCTGACACAGGCGTTGTTATCCCCATTTTACAGATGACAAAACTGAGGCTTATGTAACTTGCCCAGAGTCCCACAGCAGGTCAATGGCAGGGCTGGACTCCCAAGCTCAGGGCTCTTATCCACTATGCAATCCTGTCTTTGCTGAAAGGTGGGAATGAGAGCCAAACAACAGCGAGTTCTGCCACATCAGAACCAACAGGTTCTAAATGGATTGCCTTAATGGCATTAACATATGCCCATGACAGCTAATATTGCTCCTAAGAAATACAGTAGATATGAATCAAGAACAAAGTTTACTTTTGTGTAATCTGTTGCTATGTATCTTTCAGCGATACAGTAGGAAGGAAAAAGAAACGAACTCAAATATTTCTCAATGACAGTACTTTTTACAAACTGCCTTGTAGAAACCCAAGTTTGCATAACTCTGGGAAAGAACTGGGACGGCGTCAACCGTTTGCAGCCACCAAACACTTGCTGGCGTTTCAGTGTTCGCTACTTACGAGATCAGCGACGGGAGACTTTTTCCTGTTCTGTTTTTCCACTTCTACTTGCATTTTGGCCATTGGTTTGGCCATGGCTAGGGCCATTTTGGCTTCAGCTTGCAATTTCTTTTGCCTTGTAAGGAAATCCATGTCATCCAGGGATTCGGATTCCTCTTCAGTAGTGTCTCTATCGGAATAGGAAGAACTCTGTTTGCTCTGTGAAGGGAAAAAGAGCAGCCCTGAGCTTTCTGAGCTTTCAGGTACCATCTTTGGAGATGGGCTACAGTGTTCCCTGATCCCTCTCGAGTGACTGAGGGTCCCCGTCACCGATGCGACTCGCCACTTGATTTGGTCTGTACCAATCTCAAGTAACGTTAAAGATGGTTTATTTTTGGGGCGCCTTGGGTGGCTCAGTCGGTTAAGCGTCCGACTTAGGCTCAGGTCATGATCTCGCGGTCTGTGAGTTCGAGCCCCGCGTTGGGCTCTGTGCTGACTGCTCAGAGCCTGGAGCCTGTTTCAGATTTTGTGTCTCCCTCTCTCTGACCCTCTCCCGTTCATGCTCTCTCTCTGTCTCAAAAATAAATAAACGTTAAAAAAAAAAAATTAAAAAAAAAGATGGTTTATTTCTTCAGTGCCACGAATAGGCTCTGATTTTAGCAGAGTAACATGACAACAGGGAGAATCTATTTATGACAAACTTGAGACGTTTCTTTGGCTCTTGGTCTCAAAACTTTCCTAAAGTGATCAGACACAGAAAAGTAACCCAGAGCTAAGGCAGTGAGTGTGTTATTCTCTAGAGTGTTCTCTGGATGGGATGTCAGGTATCCATTGAAGTTGACGTTGCACTGTGCTCATGGACCAACACGGTTTCCTGTTGGCTGGTCTTTGGTAAGAAAAGTGATAGAGACTTCACAGACATTATCTTGCTGGTTTCTCGGAGCAACGTCTCTGGGTGCTGGCCTTCTCATCCTCACCTGGATCCCCACCCTGCCTTTTAAAACGTGTCCTACCGCTGGTCTGTGCTTAATACTTCTGAGCCCGATGGGGAAGCATTGGTATCTAGCACAAATTATTAGGGCACATGTGATTTCTCTCATGGTTTAATATGAAAGTGGTTGCTGACTTTAACAAGCGCTTAGGTCTCCTTATTGTATCACCCTTGTGATTTTTCAATCACTGTCAAATTTTAGGAGCATGCTATGTCGAGAAATGGCAAGAGACATTTCTTTTTGAACCTCTGCCATGTTTTTTTCCTGACTAACAACAAAAAAAGAAGCTAAATGTCCAGGAAAGCACACACGCACAGCTCTGGTGGTATTGGACTCACCATGGGAGACAAGGGGGTGTCCAAGCTGGTTTCAGTCTTACTGTCATCAGCGTCGCTGTCCTTATCACTGCCGCTGTCGTTGACAAAGCATATCTGCAGGTTCATCCCACTCTGCAGGCTGGGCAGAAGCAAACAGGACACTCATTCTACTCAGCTGTTTGTTATCAGGTGGCCCTCATCAGAGCCGTCTGGTTTCATTGACAGAAAGCAGTTTCATTGTGTTCTTCGCACGGAGAAGTGAGTGACCAATATTACTCCCAAATTACAAATGGTAACTTTTACTGAAGGAGAATAATGGTAACTTACTGAGTTGAGAACTTGATAAATGATAAAGTGATAACTTTTGCTAATATTATATTATTTTTTTTCATACCAATTTCATGTTAAGTGAAAGAATTTAAATCCACATATAGTAGCACCTAGCACCATACCAAACACAGTTGTGCAAAATGCAATGTGTCAAGTCACCAAGTTTACACTCCTGTGGATAAAGATGAATGGGGTCCTCAGGAGAGTAAAGCTGCCTGGTGTCATCTAGTGTCCTGTCCGATGGGGACAATTCAAAGAAGCTCACCAGAGCCGGCTTGCCAGGGCCACAGCTCCCTGAAGAAAGACTCCTTTTTTTCCCCAGATACACAGACTAGGATTGTCTGAAGGAAAACTACGCGTAAAGCAAATTGCCAAAAGCCAGCCAAGGGAGCCCATTTATGTCATTAAAAAAACATATACCACAGGTTCGTACCAGAGAAACTTAAGGAAACCCTAACCCAGTCAGAAAGGCACAGTCTTGTAACACAGCAGGCTGCCTCGCGTACACAGAGCCTCAGAAGTGGAGACTTTTCGGGAGCTCATTATGTTTGTGGTGAATCCTGTAGCTCCATGAGTGATGTTGCTGGAGATGTGGCCACAGAGGGTCACCGGCTGTGTGTCTGCTACATGCAAGGGCAGACAGTGGATTCAACTCACTGTCATAACTTTCTTTTGAAACTGGACACGTTTCAATACTGTTCTCCTATAAAGAGTCTTTAAAGAAGCAATTTTTCTTTTTTCCAAATGTTTTATTTATTTTTGAGAGAGAACAGAGTGTGAGCAGGGGAGGGGCAGAGAGAGAGGGAGACACAGAATCCGAAGCAGGCTCCAGGCTCTGAGCTGTCAGCACAGAGCCTGACGTGGGGGCTGGAACCCACGAACCGTGAGATCATGACCTGACCCAAGTTGGATGCTTAACTGACTGAGCCACTCAGGTGCCCCTAAAGAAGTAATTTTTCAAGCATTCCCTGTTAGTCCCAGTCTGCGTAAGCTTAGAAAAGGCGAAGGAGCCTCCTAGGCAGCAAGGGATCATAAGGAGACTGTCTAAGCCAGGTTTAGGAAGCCAGCACTGAATTGCTCTGGCATTATTACTATCACAGGGAGAAATGTAAAGAGCAACTCATCTGGTAGTTGACATTAGTATCTTTTTTTATTCCATTGGGTAGGGATGCTTTGTATAAATTGCTCAGATGACTCATATCAAGTGATTCTTTGAAAATGACACAGAATCCAGAAAGAAAATCTACTGATTTAACACAGGCACCGTCATTGTTATATGTATGCACTGCCACCTATTGGTACCTTCTGTAATTACTGCAGGTCCAGGAAGGAAAGGCAGCCTTCCCCTCAGCAGGCTGGCTCTGTTCCCCGCCTGCCTTAAAGAGCCAGGCCCTTGCTGGAGGCAGAAGGCACAGGTTCTGCTGTGATCAGTGCAGGGAGCTTGGAGTCAGTCAGACTTAGGTTCTGAATCCTCACTTCTTTCCCGGGCCCCTTACTTAACTTCTGTGAACCTCAGTTTCCTCATCAGTAAAATGGGGTGAATAATTCAGTGATTTGTAAGAAAAATGAAAACAGCTCAGAGTGAGGCACAGGGCAGGTCCTCTGTACATATTCATTATCCTCCTTTTTCTACTTTCTGAAAGCCCGGACAAAGGAATACAGAATTTTAAAGGTGATGCAACTTGGTAAAGGGACCTCTAAAGTCACTTACTCGAATACCTTGCCTGCCCTTGAATACCTCTGAAAGAGTGTCCTCAAGTTGTCTTTAACTGTTAGGCAGCTTGGACTTTTACTGAGCTGGAATTTATCTCCTTTTAATTTTCTTCCTTTGGAATTTTTTTGTCCCTGGAGAAATCTAGTATGTTCACATTACCCTTCGATCCCATATAAATTAAGTTTTAAAATTAATTATCTGTAGTTTGTCAACCACCCCTCCGATCAACCCATTTCTAACATAAACCTCCAGATATATGGATTGGAAAATGGTGGGAAGTAAAACTGCAAATGAAAAAAACACATTAAAAGCATATTTTAAAATAAAAAAGACATTTTAAATTAAACCTAATTTGAATCTAGGATTATGTTGCATTTTCTATTTACTGGATAGCTAAAGTCTTGAAAAGAAGTGTCTGTCACTGGATACCCAAATTATAAAAATATAATATAACCCACGATACCATTACCAAATAAGGTTTAAAATATCCAGGGATATATATTTTCATTCTGAAAAAGGTCTGACTATAAATTCTGTTGTCCTGCCCCCATTTGACCTGTGTGCTTAGGATCAACTCAAACCTAAATCAACCAAACCATAAAGCATATCTAACTCAGGAAAGTCAAAGGAAAAAAAAGGGGGTGGGGGGGAAAGATTCTGACTACTAAGTCAGAATGAAATGAAAAAACACCTCAGGTAGAAATTCAGAAAATCGCCTTAGTACCACATTATCACCGTGGGAAACTGAACAGAGCTTCTTATGGGGTGAGACTTATAATTCCTTATAGCAGTAATCACCAAGAATGTTACTCTCAGGAAAAGGAAATTATATGACATATCAGCTAATGGTTCAGAGGGGATTTTAGTAAAGACATCTTAAAATGGACTCAGGTTTCAAGAAGGATTTGTTTGCCTTTAGCCTTTAAGCAGGTTTTAAGTTGAAGGCGGCTTCGGGGAAACTCCATCACTGATCTCAAGCAGCAGCCTGGCTGGGGGGTGAGTGGGGCCCCTGGCGCTCTCAAAGGCCTCTGTGTCACAGCGTCAAGAAATGATAACCCCTGTTCTGGGCATAACCCCTGTTCTGGGCCCCTTCCCCCCCCCCCCCCCCCCCCCCCCCCCCGGGGAAGCATGGCTGCTCTAGGCTCATCGCTGTAAGCCGGAGTCCCTGGCCTCTGTCCCTCACCCTGCAGTGCATCTGGCCTCACTTACAACCAGGCTACCCAGTCTTGCAAAATCCAAGCTGCCAGGGAGCGAATTTGCTTGCTTGGATCTCTCAGGCACAGTCAGAGGTGAAAACAAAACAAGATCATCATCATTTAATTAGCGATATAATTTAAGGTATCCAGTTCAAGGTTGCTTGATGTTTCGAGTGGCATTTACTGGAGCGTTGCATGCAAAAGGCTGCTTGACATCTGCCTTGCCTGTCCATAGGAGATCTGAAAGGTCTGTGTCCTGGTTTTCCTGGAAAACTCTTCTCCTTATGCACCATGAGCCAGGGAAAAAACCACACTGCAGCCCAGTTACTGACAGGGAGCCCTGGGATCTGGAAAGAGGGTGTTCTGGATGGAGAATGCTCAGAATGTGAAGACACAAAGACGAAATGTGTCTTCTGGGCATCTCCGTGTGAGTGGAAGTGGCTTTCTTGCCGACAGTGCCTACTGGCCAGCATCAGGAAGGCATACAGGCGACAGGATGTTCAGCACCAATGTCTCCTTGGCTTTTGGGGTGAGGAAAACATTTTAACTACTAAGAGGACGTAGCCAAGTGATAATATAATCTGGTATAAAGAGAATACTTTTTTTCAAAATACAAGGACAAGACCAGTTTATTCCCTGAGAGAAACGATGTGATTGATGATCCTAAAGTCTGCTGTGACTTGAAGTTGTGTGGTAGCCACTGTGAATCTGGCCTTGGTCCTGGGCCTTGGTTTGAGGTGACTGGGTCTGGGCTGTTCTGAGGCTAGTTGTGAATCCCAGAATTACTTGCTGTTTCTGATTTTAAAGTTTCTTTATTTTGAGACAGACAGAAAGTGCAAGTCAGGGAGGGGCAGAGAGAGAGGGAGAGAGAGAGAATCCCAACCAGGCTCAGCACTATCAGTGCAGAGCCGGACATGGGGCTTGAACCCACAAACCATGAGATCATGACCTGAGCTGAAGTCAGAAGCTTAAGTGATTGAGCCACTTGGGTGCCCCAGTGTTTCTGAAATAGCAATCTCCTAGCACCAGCTTAGATCAGCAGTATCTACACAGAAGTGTTTAAGATTCTTTGGTTTTTACCCCCTACATCATCCCTTAGTTAACTTCACTTGAACTGTTGCAATGAATTGGAGTTCAAAATGATGTTTGCTTATACTCTCTTTTTGGGCTGTGCAACCACCTGTGGGGAACAGGCAAGGTAACAGTTACTCAGAGAAATCAAGTAAGTTCCCCACACCTTGACCACCTGATTTATTAAAATGGTCCCAATTCTTCCCCTCTCTGCACCTGCCGCCTCTGTAATGTGACTTTGCAGCTTCTCCTGTCAAGAGATGAGGTCTATTTCCCCACCCCTGGGCTGGCCTCCTGTTGTGTCTTGCCAGCAGGATGCATAGGAAGTGCCAGTGTTCCAGTTCCAAGTCTCCCCTTCAGGGCACCCTGCCACTGCCCTCAGAACAAGTCCAGGCTGGCCTGCTGGCTAATGAGTGACTTCTTAGCACAGAGTTCAATCAGCAGTTGTCCCCACCTAAGCCACATATGCAATGCAAGAGACAGGATAGCCAAGGGCAGTCAAAGGTACCTCACCAGGTACACCTGATGACTGCAGGTACATCTGAGCCCAGCTCTGATCAGCAGAACTGCTCAGCCAACTTACAGGCTCCTAAGCGGAAATCAATGTTTATCATTGTATGTCACTGATATGGTGTTTTTTTTTTTTTTTTTTTTAATTATATATAATCATTGTGGCAACAGATAACTGGTACAAGGTCACAAAGCAAGAGACAACAGGCCAAACCTCTGGTTTTTGAATCCAGGGCCCTTTTCCTCATACTACACTTAACCTCAGGTTTGGATTTATTAGATGTTGTCTGTATGTCTGGCAATTTAAAGGATTTAAAG